AGGGGGACCAATTAGTTACAAGGACAAGGGACCAATCAATTAAAAGAAAGGAGGGCCAATCAGAAATCATAAAAAAAGAAAAGAAAAAAAGGGAAGCTCCCAGCCTTCCCATCGACCCATACCTCCGCGACCTCCCATTTTCCAAGGCCGATTCCGGCCAACTCCGGCGGAGGTTTTCAACCCCACCACCTCCATCTTGAAGCTTTTGTTTCCCTCTACAAAACCCAACCAAGAACCACCTTTATAAACCAAGCCACGAAATCCGACGCGTCAAAACAGTGTTATGACCATTCTTTTCAATTTTTTCGGCAAATCGGCAAAGCGATGGCCGATGCCACCACTTGGGCTTTGTAGCCCATCATCCCAGGAGAAAATATCAACCAACCTTGACCCCGTTGGACCACCATAGACGACGAATCGACGCTGGGAAGTTTTAGGCACCCGCCGGCTTTGTGGGCAAAATTGACCATCTTCCGTCCACTTTTAGACTTTGTGTCAAGTATGAAAGTTGTTCCTCTATTTGAGATCTTCATTTCTTTGAAGTTTGAGAATTTTTAGAAATAGTAAAATTTTCCAGCGAGCCGTGGCGGCTCATGTGATTTTGCGTGGGCCAAGACCCCACCTGACCATCTTAGGCAAATTTTGAAGCCCCGATTCCATATTTGACACCCGTTTAGTGAAATTACAATGTTTTAATGTAGTTTCGTAGTTGACCACCTAGTTGGCCGCCATGGGGTCCTTGCATGAATTGACGATCCAACCGTTGGATTGCACTAAACTTTAATACTTTGTAGTATGTAATATTTGAGGACCATAGGAAGTTATGGATAGGGAATCCGGCGTACGGATTTGCCCGAATTGAATTTGTTAGTTCATAAAATAGAGCGTCGGCTGCCACTTAATTTTAGCAATTTGGCGAAGATCCGACCGTTAGATCGTTCTAAAACCTTAGGATGTTGTTCTAGAAGCTTAATGTGGATCTTTGGAAGTTACGGATCAGAAATCTAAGGTCTAGATCTTTTGGATCGAATTACGTAGGGTTATGGACCCTACCGCCGACCTTTAACCAACGGTTGACTTTTGGTCAATGGGTTTCAAATCATTCTAGAACATCCTTAGGGATGTATTTTATGTAAGTTACATGTTCTATCGATATGAATTCTAAGATGTTATTTGATAATTATTCTAGGCGACGATGGTTCATGACGCTTCGATATTCATGCTAGAGAATTGTAGCGTGGACTTCAGGTGAGTGGGTCTTTTCATTTTTATCGTGTATATATATATATATATATATATATATAATTGATAGTTCCACAAACGCTTTTAAATTGATTTATGCATTTTATACCATGTCATACATATATATTTATATATTCTAAAATATTATGAAATGGTTGAGTTTTAGATTGCATCATGGCATAACCATATGCATATTACCTACATATAATTGTTGTGAATGCCTTGAAGTGCTAATGTGAACGCGGGACGTACAGGTAAGTTTAGGTGAGTTTATGGTGTTATTTGAAATGATTGAGTTATGACATGACTATATTAGTGTTTTATGCAACTTCGACACTATCGTACAAGTTGAAATAATAGGCAACTTTGACACTGTCGTACAGGTTGCCTATGAGTCGTACATGTTGCATTAGGCAACTTCGACTCATGTGTTATCATAGATTGATTTATGAGTTGTACATGTTGCGTTAGGCAACTCCGACTCGTGGGGAGCACCTGATTTTATTATGTTGTTGCCGATATGTAGTGATTTGGAATATTTATGGATTTACTAGTTGATTTACATTTGATTTCATATTTATACATAGTATGATTTCCTGGAAACTATACAGGTATTACAGTGATAGGTTATATCGTTTAGAAGATCTTTATTAAAGCTTTATTGTTAGGCCAACTCACTTTTGTTTTTTTTTCCTATATATTCTAGTAGCAGAGTTTTCGTATCGACAAGGATTTATGTCAAGTCTTGGTATTGGAGATTACCTTTGATGGTATGATTTTCAATCCACTCTACTGTACTTTACTTATGCTCTGACGTCACATGTGAAATTGGTTCATTTCCGCTCATAGCGCACTCTCGTATTTAGGCACTTTTAGGTTTAAATGTATTCACATATTCCACATCACTACACTTTATGGCTTTGTCACCTTCCAGGTGTCGGCTAGCATAACCCGATTCGGAGTCCTAGTGGACAATTTGGGTCGGGATGTGTCATTAAACCTGAATTAGAACAAATGTTTAAAAATAACAACCCACATAGCTACTAGCTACTAATTAAAAATAAATTAACAACCAAACAAAAATTCATAAAAATTGAAAAGAATAAACATGCACTTAGCATTTAGAACTTAGGATCTCTCGTTAATTTTAAACAACAAAAACCATTATTTCTAATTAAACTTCTTGATCATCTAGCCAAATTTTATATATTTATACTCTTATGAAAAGAAATTGTAACAATTGAAAAGTAAATAAGCACACATGGTGTTTTGAACCCAAGACCTACTTATTAATTTCAAACAACAAAGCCACTAGTTCTAGTTAAATTTCTCTGTCTTTGAACCAAATTTGATAAATTTATACTCTTATGAAAAAATATATAAATATACTACCCTAATAATTTTGGTGCCCCCAATTATTTTGGGCCCCGGACGGTCGTCCTACCAGCACTGGGCCTAGGCCTGCCCTGACTGATACATACCCCTTTATATCGAGGTTCACAATGTTAATATTGCAGTCTATTTGCATCTATTTATTTTATGAGTAATGCTAGGGGGATTGAATTTGTAAACTAAATGACATGAAAGTTAGTGATTAGATTATTACTTAATTGTTGATAATTGTGCTCATTTTTTATTGGTGACACCTCATTTAGTTTACTAATTTAATCTACAAATTTAGTCATCATAGCATTACTCTAATTTTATTGCGTGTTGTTTTTAGTACTTGAAACAAGTCATTGTACACTTCAAACTCTCTAAATTTAGAAATTCAAATACACTTACGAAGAATGCACATACTTTTTTGGATCATCAATGTTGTTTGTACCATACTTGACCAATCGCGAAACTACCAAACACCGGTCAACTTCATAACTTCAAGGACCCGCTAGGGATTCATGATGAGGCACCCTTGCCAAAGCACCATAGTTTCTCTCCACCTAAGAGGCCAATCACATCACAACACGTGTCAACATCAAAGTAAAGCTCTTAAAGTCCCACATTGACTGCAAACGAAAGCGGGATACTTTCCTAAACTTTAAAAGAAGACCATTCTCTTACAATTAAGGAGGAATGTCATTATTGTACTTAAACTAGTCATTAGAACCCACTAATGATGATTACGCTTAAACTTATGTATTTGAGTAAACCTTTCACTATCAATGAGAACTTCTCTACTCTGTGGAAGTAGCCAGATTAGGGTGAACCACGTACATCTTGTGTTTGCTTCCATATCTCTATCTCTTTACATATTATCATCACTAGGTGACCAAAACCATCGAGCGAATGTCATAAACTTGACACTTTACGTTGTTCCGAAATCTTCATTGATTTTGTGCATCAACAAATGTCATCTCCAATTTTATTAAAGCTAGCCTTTTTATGTGAGGATGAAACAAAGATATAATTACACTAAGGGGGTGAGAGAATAAATTGATATCGAACTTGTGATTCACGAGATTCGAACATAAAACCTCTCACTAACAAGTGAAGAGGATTACCACTAGGCCGTAGTACTAAGTGACACCCTTATATTTTATGGTTAAGAGAAGGAATATGTGTTCATCAATTAGATAGGAGACATATATGAAATAAGCATAATAAACACTGGAAATAAAGATAAAACTATTGAGAATGTGTCCCACATTGATGGGAGAAGAGATATTGCATGGGCTTATAAAAAGTTGGGCTACTCATATTGCCAATTGGTTTTATGGTGGAACCCCAACTTTCTTCATGGTATCAAAGCAGGTTGTCCCACGTGTGGCCATAAGCGCTCCACGTCACCCTGTTGTGTTGTTGACGTGTTAGACTCGAAAATTCACCATACGTGGGGGGGTGTGTGCTGAGAATGAGTCCTACATTGATGATGGGAGGAAAGACCTTGCATGGGCTTATAAGAGGTTGGATTATTCCTCATATTGTCAATTGGTTTTATAATAAACGCCTCATTCTCTCTAAACCTCCCACCTTCTTGTGCTCCATCTACAAACGTTGTTTTTCGTTGTCGTTTTGAGAGTTAGTGGCATACTTTTCCGGTATTTATCGTCGTTTTGTATTGTCTTCATTTCCTTACATTTCCACTCTCCCTACCTTCATGCCATTCTTTTTCAAACCCAAACAACCACCCTCCCTCATCCCATCCCTCTACCTCATACTCACAATCCATTCCCACCACAACCTTCGCTACCCACCCCCCAACTGGAGTGCTAAAATTCCCTCGAGGCCTAGTGTGATGCGGCTTTAGCCAAAGCAAGGGTACTTCACGTACCCTCTTAACTTCACTCCCTTTCAAATAGTCTGGATCCTGTGGCTCTCTCTCAGTGTAGCGTGCCACTTATGGTGACCAATCCAATTGTAGTATACTTCTTGTTGCGGATTTGTAATTTTTGTGCAACAGTGCGTTGGTCAAATTGACCACTCCGTAGCTTTCTTCGTTGTAGTTGCCAAAGTAGCCGCCGGCAAGACGTTTGCTCTGGGCCTCTGGCCAGGGTGAAAAGTCACGTCCTTGCTAAAAATGGAGCGGAGTAGAATCCCTCCAAGTGAATTCATAAAACCGACCCGAAAAAACAAATTTTCAAATCCCTCCAAACAATCACCAAACGGGAAATTAATGAGAAAGCCCAATTCCCAAAACGTCGGCACCCGCTACTTTGACCTCACTAATCCAACGGCCCCAAAACCTTCTTCAAAAAACTAGGAACTAATCCTGACCCTCCGATCCTTCCTTTGTTTCTTAAGGGCTTACACCACACAGTACGTCAGTGCCGGTTCCCCTCCCACTCCTTCTGCAGTCGACTCACACACTAGTCTCACTTAATTCCGTCTCTCTCCTCTCTCTCTCTCTCTCTCTCTCTAGAATTCCAACTGCAGAAGCGGTTCTGCCTTTTATTGCAGCAGATCGGCCTCACTCGTTTCGATCCGCGTTTCTTAGGTTCGTTTCTCTTCTCAGCTTTATCCTTTTTTGTTCATTTAAATCAAAATTTTGTTCTTCGAAACGCTTCGCTCGTTGTTTTGATTGGTAGAAGCGGCTTGTTTTTGTGTGAAAATTAAATTAAAATTTCAACTTTTAATCTTTCAGTTCTTGCGTTTTTACATGAAATTCGACTATGAACCCCCTTTGATTTTCTTTTCTTTTTTTTTTTGTCCGGAAATTATTGTTTGTTTGGATTTTTCTGCTTGTAATATCGTTGAAACCAGAGAGATTTTCTTGGGAAAAAGGGAAATTTCCTGGAAAATATCTTAAATCCTGAGATATTTTCCTTTGAAAATTCTTATTTATTTGTCCTCGTATTTTTCCGCTGAATTTTTTTCTTTTGAAAGAAAAAAGGAAGACGAAGACGACCCACATGTCCATATCAGAAGGGAAAAGGGAATCTAATGCCAAAATCGAATCTTTTTTAGGCGCACCTAATTTCATGGCTTTGCTAATGTACGCCTGTTGCATACATTGCCCCCTCTTATTTTATGAATCTCATTTGAAATATAATCCCTAGTGTACTGGTAAAATTTTGTTATAAAAAGAAAAGAAACGGGTTAATTTCGTAGTGAATTTTTAATTAGAATTAATTAATTAATTTAATTGGAGAGTTTATTCAGTTGGGGTCACACACAGCTAAGGCTGATAAACCCTAGGAAGATAGTAGTGGTATTACTTTTTACTAACCCTAATTCTTTTTTCCTTCTCTGTTTTTTTTTTTCGTCTTTGTTGTTCGGTTTTAGGCTGAATTGGGTTTTAAAGATTGGTAATGGCGGGCGAAAAGAAAATTGAGAAAGGTAATTATTGACCAACTCTTAGCCTTTAGTGGAATTTGTTTGAAGTTTTAGTAGACAATCATATTTGCAGGGTTTTATAGGTTTAAAGAATTTCTGGGTTTGTTTTAAATTATCCAATTAAGTGTTGGGAGCAAATTATTTTCGAAAAGCCTTAGGTATGTGCTGTCATGGAAGAAAATTTCATGAATTGTTTGTGTTGGATTGAAATTATATTTTGACACTGTTGGATTCGCATAGCCGTTATGAAATTATTTTCTGTTTAGTCCCTTGTTTTTCCCTCTTCTTGAGCTTGTCTTTGCAAGTCTATGATGATTTGCTTGAAGTTCTATTCAATATGATTGACCGGTTGATTTCAATTTTTGCCTACCTAATTGAAAATTTTCTTTTGGGTTAATAGGTTTATCTTTTTTTATAATTGCATGGGCAAAGATCTTATGTTTTTCTTGACAATCTGTTTCCAGGAGAGCCTGTATCCACTGTATTGAAGGCAGATCCTGTTACTGGATTGAGTGATCAAGAAGTGGTATGTAAAACCTTTCTTTTCATGATGTTTCAATTTTTAACGGTTTCTCTTTCTGTCCCTACTTCTTCCCCCCCCCCCCCAAAAAAAAAAAAAAAAAAAAAAACCCAAACATCAAATGTCTTGATTGGATTTTTCCGATGCCAATGTAGCATGTGTGTTTTTAATTGTATCCTTAAAGTTTGAATTTTCCGGTTGTGATGATTATATGTTTGGTGCTGAAAACACTAGAACATTCTCTATTGTATAGAGAAGCGCATAACTTCAGTGGGAAAGGTTTGGTTCTAAAAGTTTGATGTATTGTTGGCTTAAATGGACTAGTCAGGTTGTTTCTTCATGATTCTGTGGTGCATCTCTGGTATGCCTCATGTGAATTTTCTAAACAATTTTTGTTGGCTGTCCATCTTCTCGAAGTGTTCTAGTAAGCTTTTTATTGGATTGCTTTATCTCATTCAAAAAAGTACTTTTGTTTTCTACATTTTATTTGTTTGTTTGCTTATTTATTTGGTCATGGGTCATGTTTTAGGTAATGTGTTGAGGTTCGGTCTTGACTATAATATTCTCAGTTCTGTTCTTCTCTATGTATCTCTCTTCCAGGTTTCTGGGAAAGACGAAATACCATCTGATTCAAAGTCCATGTCTGCTTTATTGGATGCCACCTCTAGCATCAAAGGTGAGACCGATCAAGTCTCGGTTGGAGAGCATGGTGTTTACTATCCACCTACTAGCTGTTACAATTATTATTACCCAGGTTAGATGTCAAAATGGTTCTTTGTAATTGATCTGAATTTATTAGTGTAATAGAGTTCTACTAAAGCTGTGAATTTAGTGGAATTTTTAGTGGCGAATTGTATTAGTTTTGATCAATTAACTTCAATAGAGTGCTTAACTTGAGGTTCTAATTATATTACAATTGTAACTTCTTACTTGGGAAGAAAGAATTTCTTCTTTATTCATGTAAGCAACTGAAGATCTTTGTTGTTATCATCTTTTGCACGTATAGTTTTATTGCATTCTGATTATTTTACAGTGGCGATAACCATTGAAGAATACAATCTGTTTTTAAGGAAACCTTTGCTGCTGTACTAAAACTTACGTGTTCTGCAATCCATCTGTCTATTCTTGTCACTAAAATAAACAAATTTGTAGGAAGAGTGGTAAATGTCTATTCTTTAAGTGAGCTTGATTCCTGAATCTTTGTTTTGGATGTTTTGTTATTTGCAATGGTTGCAACTAGGCAATTAGCATAAGTATACAGTTCAAACATGAAACCCACAATAAAGTTTATGTTGTTGAAGAAGTGAAGCTTTATATTTTATCAAAACATGCAACCCTGTTATCAAATCGTGGAATAAAAAACGTGAACACTTTCAGAATTGTGTTTAATAGGCTGGTTTGTCTAAATTGTGCTTCAGTCAAAGTACCTGTTATTTCTTCAACTTAGATCCATTTTGGTACTCAAATTTTGAATTTCTTGCGGGTGCAGGATATACTGGATCATTTACGCAGATGGATGATCATGGTTATATGCATGCTAATAGTTCGCATACGGTATGGCTGTTTCAATCAGGTCTTGGGTGCTTGAATTTATTCATCAATGTGACCACTTCTAATTGAGCAGGCAGTAATTTTATTATTTTCCTTGATGATGATCCAGGGTGCTCAGTCAGAAAATGGTTCAATGTTGTATTACCTTCCCAGCTATAACCCATATGCCCCGGGAACTCTAATGGGAATGGACGGGCAAGGTGTTGGCCAACAGCAGTATTATCCTTCCTCGGGATATATGCAACCACCTGTTTCATATGGATCAGAAGCTGCGCCTTATTCTTGGGACTCAACATTTGGTGGAGACGTCTCAACTGCAGCAAATGCTGGTTCTGGAAATGTTAAGGCTGGACCTGGGTCAACTGCTTTATCTAGGTCAAATGGTTTTACATTGACCAAAGCCAATGGCCCTCTTACAAGCAAGTTTTCCAAGCCCCTCCCTCAGACACAACCTGGCAAGTCATTAAACAAGGTTCGGAAAAGAATTTCTGCAACTTTGGTTCAGGAATTTCTAAGTGTTAGAAAAGATTCCGGCATTTGCTTGAGCCATTAAATGGATGCTATGTGTTGCACTTCATTATAACTTTCCATAGTTATTTGCTGATGTATAACAAGAACCTTCTAATTGTTAGTATAAATTTTATTCTATAGGTTCCTCATCTGGGCAATGATTTTTCAGCGGGTCTTTTGAAGGGCTACCCACCAGCAGGAAGATTCTCATCATATACTAACCAGAAATATGGTTTGTTTCCTCCTACTAGTCAAACATACTACCAATCAAATGGTAGAATTCTGAATGGAAATGATAGATTCAAGTCAAGGGAAAAATATAACAGGAATGAAGATTTTGAATCTTCAGCTGAGTTGACACGTGGTCCAAGGTCCCGCAACAAGAGTTCTCCATTAGACTCACCAATTGAGAAGGAAGAACTAGGAATCACTGTTCGTAGGGATAAATATAACCTACCAGATTTTCAGACAGATTATGAAAAAGCGAAGTTTTATGTCATCAAGTCTTACAGTGAAGATGATGTCCATAAGTCCATTAAATATGATGTTTGGGCCAGCACTCCCAACGGCAATAAGAAATTGGATGCAGCATTTCATGATTCTGAGTTGAAATTGAGAGAGACAAACACTCAGTATCCCATCTTTCTCTTCTTCTCGGTGAGTTTGGTATATGCAATTTCTCTTGATTTTTGGGGTATAGAGTTTCATTATGTAGTATGCCCGGTCATGCACTGAGAATAAACTTTTATTATTGTTCTCAGGTAAACGGAAGTGGACAGTTTGTTGGTGTAGCTGAGATGATTGGACAGGTAGATTTTAATAAAGATATGGATTTCTGGCAAGTTGACAAGTGGAGTGGATTCTTTCCAGTAAAGTGGCATGTAATAAAGGACATACCGAACCCTCAGTTGCGGCACATTATCCTGGAAAACAATGACAACAGACCAGTAACTTTTACCCGGGACACTCAGGAGGTACTATTCTATTTTTGATCTCATGGGCAGCTGCATTTTTTCGTGACACATTATAGCTTCATTTTCCTTGTTTGCTCTATTGGATGTTCTCTGTTTCATTGTTATGACATGATTGTAATTAAGACTCTTTCACATGTATTATAATGTTCAGATTGGACACAAGCAAGGTTTGGAATTGCTGAACATTTTTAAAAGTTACACAGCTAAAACATCTTTGCTAGATGACTTTACGTTCTATGAAAATCGGGAGAAGTCTCTGCAAGCCAAAAGGAGCAATAAACCCGCAACTTTGAAGATGGAAAATTACGATAATGGTGATATCACTGTAAGTTTTATTTTCTTTGATTAATGCATTGTACTTTTAGATACGGCTTCCCTGAACTTTTCTAATTCCATTAACCTCGTTTTGCAGAAGCATATGAATGCTGGAGGGAGAAACATTGATGTTGAGTCAGGTGGGATGAGGATGGGTTCTCTCATCTCGCTCACCAAAAATATGAATCTCAACGCCTGCCCGTGACGAGAGCGGTGCTACTATTAGGCATTTTACGAGTTAGCCACAATCTTCAGGTCTAGAAGGTTTTGATTCTTAGGATCTTTTTTTTACCCTTTAATTCTAAGCTATATTTTTGTTTTCAATCTTTCCATCTAAAGCTGGTTTGTGAGTTTAGTTTTTGTGGTTGGCTTATTTTGCTGTTTGAGTTTTAAGTTGAATTTCTTGTGAGCAAGTTGTCCTAGAAATCCATGTTTTTCTGTTCGTTCTATCATGAAAGTTTGATTTTTTTCAATAGAGTTTGTGTTGTTCCTTGCTTTTACTTTTGGAAGCAGCATAGGCCGACTCGACTTATTTAAGATTGCCCCAGTCGTGCTTTGTCTCGTGCTCGGGTTTTTACACCCCCATCGTGCTCTGTCGTGTGCTCGGGTGGTTACGCTGTTGCATTACAAAAAATCACCCAACTTCCAGTTCTCAATTTTGTGAAACCATGAGAATGCCAAAATCGTTCTTTGAAATGGTTGTGATTTACATGGGAATGACAAAATAAAGGGTAAAGTGAATAGTATCATGATTGATTTTTTTAGTGTAAAAATATGATTTTTGGTTACAGTGAACGGTACCAGAAGCTTTTCGTTAAAGTTCCCATGGCTAAATGGTGGGCAGCAAACGACCAAGAAGGTGTATTTATACATTCAAAACGCAAAACCAAACCCTAATAGGACTTAATGTTCAAATAGAAAAAGAATTAAACAATTAACAAAGTTGCAAAGTATTCCTAAAACCCAAAACGTTGCCTTGGGATAGTACGAAGGTTTTTGGCAAAAATTGCCCTTATGTCACGAGCGAAGCTGGTGTGTTTTGATCCTTGCGTCGTTTTCTTCAAAAGACAAATTATAAGCCTTATTCCGACACAGGTGACCCGACCCGCGTACCAGCAGCCTTGCTGCCAGTTTTGCGTCTTCCGAGCTACTTTTCAATCCATTCTGCCATCTGTTCTACATTATCTTATTTGAATTTGTTCCTCCTAGGTCTCTCCATACACAATGGTTTACTAGTTTGACTCTCGTTCGGATGATGAATTTAAATTGTTTTGACATTCACTGGGAAGGGGGTGTGGCTGCGGATCATTTCACTGACATCAGTTTATCTTCTTCATCATTGGTTGTGGCTCTCCGTCAGTGGTTCTTGCTTCTTTGCATTCGGATTTACTTGGCTTGCCTAGTTTTTTATTTTTGAATTAGTGTGGATCATACAAGTTAGGCACGCTCTGATGTGAATTTTTTTTTTTCCAAAACCATTCATTATTATAATCATGTTGCAATTAATTACAATTACTCCATAGTCTTCCAACTTTTTGATACTAGCTACGACCCTCAGGGCCTCAGTAAATTGGCAACGGTTTATAGTCTTCCGACTTTCCTTGCCTGACGGCTGCGCCAAGCTGCTTGTATGGAAGAAGCTGCTAAGAGCTCCCATTGCTCCGGCCTAGGATCCTCCGAGTTGGACATCTCCTTGCTGAAATGCCACCAGAGTCTAGAGACTACACACTTCACGTCGACGGCCATGAGAGCAAAGGCTTCAACTTTGGTGTGGGACTTAACAGTTCTGGTCGAGATGGGAATATCAGAAAACGAGGAGGATTTTAGTGCCCAACTTAGAAGTTGTTCGCCATAGAAGTCGCTTTTCTGAAGACATCCATTGCCTCCAGTGTTGCTAGACGACGATGAGTAGATCCATGCAATGCCTTGTGTGATGAATAACATCTTATCAAGTGGCTCCCCTTCTCGGACAATAAAACTATCCTCGGCATACATTACTTGCTTAAGGTTCCCACATACTGCTTGCAATACTTGTTCATCCAAATTATGAAGCAAAGGAACCTAATCAAGATTAAGATACAATTCATATCATGCATATGTTTAAGAAAACTTAAAGGAGAGGTATTAATTCAGTAGGAGCATCAATATTAAACGCTTTTTCTTCTTCGATCATTTCCAAATTACAATTGAATTTCTTAAATGATCAAATTCTCATCATGGATATCTGATCTGATCATTATTTCTTTTGGTAAAACTGTGTGTGTCAAAAGACCCTTATTAGAATAACAACTGTTAACAAAATGGGTCTAAGGAAACCCCATCATCCTAAAAAATCAACCTATCCACAAAAGCAGGAGGCTCATCAAAAACATGGAGACCATTATTTCCTTGATAAATATTCAATATATCATAGATAATTGATTTTGATCACCTTAGCAATTGTTATTTGTTTTTCAATGATTTTTGCTGATTTCCCTCTTTATTTGATTCTTTTGATAATGATCTAGTAAGTTTTCCAGTAAAATAAATCTTCATACTCAATTTCTTATCTAAACAAAAATAACGTACTTTCTTAATCGTATCCATGCAAAGATGATGCTTTATGGATTTTCTGACTCGCCATTGTAGCATAGAGAATAAGTTCTCCATATCAACGTCTTTGTTTCCTTTCAATATTTGTTCTATGTTTTTCATGATTCCTGTCTTCATATGCTTATCACGGATACCATTTTTGTCCATCCACATATGTATATCTACCCTTTTCCTTTGCGTCTTCATAGATAACACTGAATTTAGTCTTTTTTCCTCTGATTTCATAGTTGCCAACTGAATGAATGTCTGCAATTCTTACACGAAATCAAGTTCTTTTGTTATTCACAAAATGTTGGACTATTAGGGATATGCATGCATGCATCAATGGGATTTAGGGTTGGTTTAGAAGTGCTTTCAAAATGACTAAAAGTGTTTTTGATGAAAATATTTTTGGAGTCAATTCTAGAAAAACACTTGAATTGCTCATACAAGAAACATATAACTGGTGCGTTGCAGGAAGCACTTCTAGTGGCTTTGAAACCCAAAAACACTTTTTTTCTAAAAGCGCTTTCAATTATTTTAAACACACTTCCAAATAAGCTCTTAATGAAATTGAGTTTTATGTTGAAAGGCAAACAACACAAAATTAATAAAGTTCATATGAGTAATTTGGCAATGGTTAGACAATAACCATGGGCTTTTTTATTTTATTAATATAACGATATAATTATATTGTAACGATATACTCATATTAAGGGGTCGAAATTTGGACTAAGCAACACAATATATAGGTCTTCCACGATAATTTGGTTCGAACTCGTTATCGATAAAAGTCAAACTTAAAACCTTTTCTTACACTTAAAAATAATATCACTAGTCCATATTATTGAATGAAAGATCATGTACTCACTCAATTAAACATTGAACACCGGTTGTTCAGTGTGACCCTAATACAATCAAGTAATGTTACTTAGTCCACTTGTTAGTTGTTATAATATAGATGTACCATCCAATATGTTTTTGTCATTTTAGGCATAATGCATAAATAAAGAGAAGGCATATTTTAATATGAGTAGATTAATAACACATATGCTAATGAAACTGAGAAGTCTCAAGTATGGGAGTCGGATCCTGCTCGTGTTATAACTTGAAATTAATTACCTTTTTTCTAACTATCCAATGAGCACACTCCGTGTGTGTGAACAATTTCATTTTGTTTTTTTTATTAAGGAGTGTGATTAGTTTTTAAAATTTTAAAGAGCATGAAAAAAATATGATGGTGGGACAATTTCTCTTAATAAGTGCATATTTTATCTTAGGGTAAAAGACTATTTACTACCCTCATGTTTCGTGGTTTTCAACATTTAGTACATCAAGTTTTTTCGTCTCAAAGTCATACTTAATGTGTAAATTTTGGAACAGTCTCACACATCCGTTAGTCAAACTGTTAAGTCTCCCATTAACTGTGACGTGACGCCCATGTGGACACTGACTGAGCGCCACGTGTCATCCACATGGAAATTAAAAATAAATTATTTATAAAATAAATAAATAAAGTTATATATATATATAACCTTCATCTTCCCTAGATTCGGAGGAAGAAGAAGAAGAAGGAGAAGGAAGAAGAAGGAAGAAGGAGAAAGAAAAAAAAAAGTTGCAGTTGGAGGAAGAAGAGGAAGAAGAAGGAAGGATAAGGAGGAAGAAGGAGGAAGGAGGAAGAAGAAGAAAAAAAAACTTCCCCAAATTCGTAGGAAGAAGAAGAAGAAGAAGAAGAAGAAGAAGAAGAAGGAAGGAGAAGGAAGAAGGAGAAGAAGGAGGAAGAAAAAAAAAAGTTGCAGTCGGAGGAAGAAGAGGGAAGGATAAGTAGGAAGGAGGAAGGAGGAAGAAGAAAAAAAAAATCTTCCCCAAATTTGAAGGAAGAAGAAGAAGAAGAAGAAGAAGAAGGAAGAAGGAGAAAAAAATTGCAGTCGGAGGAAGAAGAAGAAAGAAGAAAAAAAAAGAAAAAAAAAACCGAATCTGCAACCCAGATTTGGAGGAGGAGGAAGAGGAAGAGGAAGAAGAAGAAGAAGAAGAAGAAGAAGAAGAAGGAAAAAAAAAATATTCCCCAGATTCGGAGGATGAAGAAGAAGAAGAAGGAGAAGGAAGAATGAGAAGAAGGAGGAAGAAAAAAAAAAGTTTCAGTCGGAGGAAGAAGAAGAAGAAGAAGGAAGGAAGAAGGAGGAAGGAGGAAGGAGGAAGGAGGAAGGAGGAAGGAGGAAGGAGGAAGAAGAAGAAAGAAGAAAAAAAAAACTGCAACCCAGATTCGGAGGAAGAAGAAGAAGAAGAAGAGGAAGGAAGAAGGAGGAAGGAGAAGGAAGTAGGAGGAAGAAGGAGGAAGAAGAAAAAAAAAATCTTCCCCAGATTCGGAGGAATAAGAAGAAGAAGGAGGAAGAAAAACAAAAGTTTTAGTTGGAGGAAGAAGAAGAAGAAGAAGAAGGAGGAGGAAGAAGGAAGAAGAAAAAAGAAGAAAAAAAAAACACCGAATCTGCAACCCAGATTCAGAGGAAGAAGAAGGAGAAAGGAGAAAGAAGAAGGAGGAAGAAGGAAAAAAAAAATCTTCCCCAAATTCAGAGGAAGAAGATGAAAAAGAAGAAGGAGAAGGAAGAAGAAGGAAGAAGGAGAAGGAGGAAGGGAAAAAAAAAAAGTTGCAGTAAGAAGAAGAAGAAGAAGCAGAAGAAGAAGGAGAAGGAAAAGAAGAAGGAGAAGGAGGAAGGGAAAAAAAAGTGAAAAAAAAAAAGTTGTAGTAAGAAGAAGAAGAAACATGGATGACACGTGGTACCCAGTCGGTATCCACTTGGGCGCCACGTCACAGTTAACGGGAAACTTAACAGTTTGACTAACGGATGTATGAGAATGTAAAAAAAAAAAAACATGGATGACACGTGGCACCCAGTTGGTGTCCACATGGGCGCCACGTCACAGTTAACGAGAGACTTAACAATTTGACTAACGGATGTATGAGACTATCCAAAAATTTACACTTTAGGTATGACTCTGAGACAAAAAAAATTTGATGTACTAAATGTTGAAAACCACGAAACATTAGGGTAGTAAACAGTCTTAATATTACATAATTACTGTTTTATCCTCCTTATGTAAATATTGTATATCAAAAGTGAGGGTAAAAGGTCGTACCCAGTGCACAAGGCTCCCGTTTTACGCAGGGTCTGGGAGAGGTGAATGTCGGCTAGCCTTACCTCCATTTATGGAGAGGCTGCTCCCAAGTCTCGAACCCGAGACCTACCGCTCATGGGCGAAGGCACTTGCCATCGCACCAAGTGCGACCTCTTAAAGATAGAGATATGATTGTCAATTTATCAAAAGTGAGGGTAAAATAAGAAAAATAGAGATATGATTGTCATTTTATCAAAAGATACAAAATTACTATTTTGTCCTCCTTATGTAAGTATTGTGTATCAAAAGTGAGGACAAGATAGGGAAAAGGGGCAAAAGATACAAAATAACTATTTTGCCATCCTTATGTAATTATTATGTATCAAAAGTGAGGGTAAAATTAGAAAAAAAGTGGCAAAAAGTTGATAAGGAGGGTTCTCTTAATAATAGTATTGTGTATCAAAAGTAAGGGTAAAATAGGAAAAATAGGGATATGATTGTCATTTTATCAAAAGATACAAAATTACTATCTTGCCCTCCTTATGTAAGTATTGTGTATCAAAAGTGAAGGCAAAATAGGGAAAAGGTGGCAAAAGATACAAAATTACTATTTAGCCTCCTTATGTAAGTATTGTGTATCAAAAGTGAGAGCAAAATTAGAAAAAAAATAAAGTGGTAAAAAGTTGACAAGGAGGGTTTTCTTAATAATAGTATAGATAACACCATAATAGTAAGCACATCTTTTAACTTGAAAATTTTCATAAATCCCTATTACGGTGTTCCTAAAACCCTACAATAAGTACCTAATACCATATACAATAAGAAAAAGATACGAAAAACAAACGTTGGACGGATTAATTTGTTACCAACCTGCACATTCCCAAGAAGGTGTAGAAACAGTAGCAAACCCATGACACAAATAAGAATTGCAAGTCCGTTTTCCCACGCATAAGTACTCGTTTGAAGATTCTGACCAAAAGAACTGCAAAATTTCATAAGCAATGTTTGAAATACTAATGTCAAAAGCTTACTATAAATACTGCATGTATATAATAAGTATAAATCCCGTTCTCTCGGTCACCAAGCATCAAGAATTCGTAGTCATTCACTTTGTATTTAATAACAAAAGTTAAGATTAAAACATAAAAAACACATCGATTTATTGCCCACCTTTAATATCAAATTCAAAAATGTGTAGTCAGGCTTCTATTAGTTACTTGATGAAAAAAAAAAAAAATTTATATAGTAAGTAAATCTACGAACCTTAAATTTCGCAGAGCCCACCAAATAGAGTAAATGATCTTTGGTGGAATGTTCATTGACCGCGTGGTACCAGACTCGAGGGCACTACTAAACATTCCAAAATCAAATAGGGTTGCATTTGTTGGATTGGTAGGACACTTTTCACCAAGGAAGGAGATATTTCTTGAAGTTGTAGTAGTGGCACCATCACATAAATATGTAGACATGCATGCTGGAGTTGTAGGATGATGCATACAAGCACGATGCCAACATGATATCTCTCGTTGAATAGAATAGAAGTACCAAAAGGCTCCTGTTATCTAAAACACCAGCAAGTTACGTAGTTAGTAATTAAAACAAGTACAAGAAGGCTAAGTTCTTGAAAAATGAAGGATTAATCACATTTTGCGCTTGTGTGATTTTGGACCGATAACAATTTGGTTCTCATTCATTAAAATTGGCAAAATGAATTAAAAACATATTAGACTAGCTATTGGTTTCTTGGTCCACTAAAATTATCAAGTTGACTACTATTTTTTTTCTCTGATTGGTGTCATGTGTTGCCATATTTATGGGGTTAACTAGGGTTTTCTTTAGAAAGTTTCTTATATATTGTTCATAGGTTTTTTTTAAAGATTATTTTTCTGATACAACGATATTGGAGTTTGATTAAGCTACATAGTGGACCAAAATTTGTTGTTGTTTATGAAAGTCGAATATAAGACTTCTCACTTACAAATTGAAGATGAATGTTACTAGACAACATTTTTAAGAGAAAACTTTGAGCAAAGCAAAAAAAATACTAAAATAAAAGGAAAGATTAAAGAAATTATATATGAGAATTAATGTAATTGAAACTTACATGACTAGCAAGAATGTAGAGGAAGAAATTGAATGCCCCTTTAGCCCATTTTCCAGTGTTTGGCTTAAGTTTCTTAGAGGTCAAGTGAATCCGATACACCTTTGGTAGATATTGAAGGAGAAGAAACGCATTCAAAATCTTACTCCTTTTGTAAAAATACTCAAAGCCATTCAGATCTAGAAAGAACAACAATATTGCCACCTACACAAATTGAAAGGTTTAAATTAGAGTCAAGAGTGTTATATATCGAAGAGAAATCATCTAGTTACACATTGGATAATATGATTTGTTTGTATCCTATATACTTTATCAATTCCGAAATTACCGAGTACCTGTGAACTTTGGTACCGGTTGGTATGCAGACATGACGGGACAGAACGGAATGGAACGGGACGGGACGGAACGGAGAGAGAGCAAAGATGCCCTCGGATGGAAACAAGGAGGAAGAAGAAGGAGATGGAGATGTTATAATTTTGTGTTCTACGGATGTGGAACGAGTCGTTCCAGAGGGTGAGGTGGAACGAAAATTTATCCAAAACTCGTCCCGTGGAATAGCGCGTTCCATCCGTTTTAGGCGCACCAAACGTGAGACAAAACGCCTCGTCCCACTTCGTTCCATCCCGTCTCACGTACCAAACGGTACCTTTATACCTTTAGAGATCTATGGAAGGATTCGTGTTGAGGCACCCCTGCCGAAGCACATGAGTTTTGCTCCAACTGGGAAACCAATCATAACACGGCACCTGTCAACATCAGAATAAAGCTCCTAAAGTCCTACATCAACCACGAACGAGAGTAAGCGACTCTCCTCAACTATAAAAGGAGACCATTCTCCTAGAATTACTCCCTAGTGCTATTATTCCACTTAATCCATTATTAGAACTTACTACTAATGATTGTGCTTAAACCTTTGTGTTACGTAAATTTTACATTATTAATGAGAACTCTACCCTCGTGGACGTAGCCCAACTTGAGGTGAACCATGTATATCTTGTGTTGGTTTCCAAATCTCTATCTCAATCATGTATATATTGTGTAATTGTTTCTTTATCTCTATATCTTTACATATTTACCTACACTTAATGACCGAAGCAACCTTGCGAAAGTCATAACTTGACACTTTACGTTGTTCCAAAGTTCATCAGTTTTGTGCATCACAATGAGTTAGAAATAATGTGGTTTAAAAGTTATAAAGAAAATTATGACAATATTAACGAAAAAAAAAATGTTTTTCGTCCTAATGTAGAGTGACAAACAGTTAAAAGCGGTGTGTCATTAAATGGGCACACGTCATCTAAACTGCATGTTTTAGCCACTCACCGTCATAGCAGAAACAGCCAATCGATAAAATTTTTCTGGGCAAACATTTTACGTACCAAAATGTTTAGGTTTACCTGTGGGATGGGAAGAATGGCGAGAAAGTCAACTAAGATGGAGATGGCCACAGCAGTAGTGTTGGTACTAGTAACACGAACTTCATGTAAAATATGTATTATGAAAGTCATATCCGTGAGTGAACGTAAGAGGAGAGCTACAGTCCTCAAACTCGTGTCCTTCCTTATGCATTTCTTCTCCTCAACAACGACCGGAATGTAAAAGAAGAAAGGATCGAGCGAGACTGCAATCGCACATGAAATCACAAACATCTTAGACCATATTACGCCGAAGCGTCCCCGTGGATCAAGAATTTCCTTCACGGTTGCCCCTTTTCCCGTCCCGGTTGATGAACGTGAACGTCCTCCATCTGTTCTAATGTAATTAGTTAATTGTCTCCCGATGCTGTTATTTTGAGAACCTGCAGTGCTGCATAAACAATAGAAAGATAAATAAAAGTATAAAAATATGTTTATCGCAAAAACAATTGCAGTCTCATCGAATTGGATAAAAAAGAATGCACGAACGAATTAATCCGTCGTAGAACTGTGCTAGGAACCAACAAAAGTGAGCTTAAGTTGAAAAAATAATAAAAGATGAAAAAAAGCATATTAATTATTCGTCGACTGACCTCTCAGTTCCCCGTGTCCAGTTCTCAATATCTAAAGCCACTGTGGGGGCAGCCATAAGCTCAAGCTGCTACACCGAATTAACGAGCTTAATAATTCTTAAAAGGATAATTTTTCTTGGGGTCTCAGGATCCCATATACTAACTTCTGAAACGGATAAGGTCAACTGGTCAACCACGTTTCATTTCGAAACCCTTTAAACGACATTAAACCAAACAACCATCAAGTATTTTTACTATATCCAAACACCCCTCTTCTCTCACACCAGAAAATGACCAAACAAAACAGACCTCTCCCATCATGACCAGCCACAGTACTCGTCCTTCCCGAAAATGCAAAATAAATGTATTATATAACGAACAACTTGCCTGTACAAAAATTCGATTCCTTCCAATGTAATCATATGAAACCAAGTATTTCATTGTTTACTTATTTCTGACTATTTCATAGGCTTGTAAAAAAAATTTACTTGTATATATATTTGATATATATGAATAAATGTATTTCGTTGTTTGACCTATTCATTACAAATTGGAGACTCTAAGAAAAGAATTAGAGTACTTGGATTTAACGGAAGACGTGACACATAACAGAGCATAATGACGTTCTAAGATTCATATAACCGACCTCATTTAATGAGAAAAGACTTTGTTGTTGTTGTATATAACGAACTCAAAGTATGTGATGTAATATAGCATCTGGAAGATCTGTAATAAATTTGTATACTCCAAGACCAAGACTCCAATTTGTATAGCATCCGGAAGATCTGTAATAAATTTTTGTATGTATAATCCCAAGACCAAGACTCCAATTTGTATATGCACCATGCTAATTTATTAGTAATTAACCTGACAAGTTGGATATAATAAATACATTTTACCTGTTCATGCCAGCAGGGCAAGTTGTTTTTGACACGCCCCGACCCTGATATTCCCCGAATACCAGGATAGACATGTACTGGCCGACACCCGAGGGTGACGAAAGCCATTAATTGATACAAAAGCTAAGAATAAGAAGTAAATAAGGGTTATGAATTTAAAATACCATGAATTAATAATTTAGGAACGTGTACAACTAAACCTAATCACTAAAACGAATTAAGATAAAATTTAAGGGAACTTTAACGAAAAGCACTCGGTATTGTTCACTTTAACAAAAAACCACATTTTTACACTAAAAAGTCAATCCTGGTACTATTCACTTTACCCTTTATTTTGTTCTTATCATTAAAACTCAAAGTTTTCAAGCTATTTTCATTAGTTTTCCTAAAATTTAATGAATAAAGGAGTGAGTCCTACATTCGAGAAGATCCGAAGATGCTGCTGCGGAAGTGTATTGACGCCGGGATTATGTGCCTTGATTCTAAGTCTTGAATGGGGGCGCAAAACAAAGGTGAGTGGACCAAGTTCATATATATAATAATAATAAAACAGTTATCAAGATACTAACCCCCACAGTTTATATAATGAAAACTACTAGCATAATAAATGATGGATTTAATAAAAATCCTAGCATGCCAAAAATATCTCAAAAGCTATATCGCGGAATATCATCGCGTAAAACCAAAGCATGAATCGTCTCACATATCGTCTCGTAAACGCAGTGTGCTGCTAGTAAGATCACCGAATAAACATAACTCCCGGCCCAATGCCTGCACCTAAGTCTCTGTGCCCGTAGCCAGAGATAACTCCCTCCCGGCCCAATGCCTGTCACCGTGTCCCTCAGCCTTTCGCTAGGGATTATTTCTCCCGGCCTAAATGCCAACACCAGATCCTCGCCCCAGGCGGCATAGTGTCCACTAGGTACGCACAAATAGTTACGTCTCTCTTAAATAACCACTTCATAGCATAGGTTACCGATCATTGTCTACACTATAAATAGGGGTACAAAAATATGTTCTAACATCCTATCGTCATCTATCAGATAGTCTACCAGTTCATAGTTTTAATAGAAAATACGATATATTAAAATATAGCTCAATATAGGCTAACAATTAATTCCTCACCAAAACACGAGACGATAATTAATATATTAAATTAACAAGCTTCACATAAATCAAATCATAAATCCGTAGGCATGCTAATCATTTATGCAATTAAATTATCAAATCATGTAATTTTAGAAGGGATCCACTCACAGTACTTAGTTGCCAAAAGCTGCGCCACTAGCGAAGACGGAAACGTCACAATAATTGCCCCTAAGCACATAAAGAGTCCAATAAATAAAACTATATAATAGCAATTGAATTTGGGAAAACGGACATTGGAAACAGATTCAGAACGTCGAATTACCCTAAGAAGAGTCCCGGACGAAAACCAGAAAAGTCAACCCTAAAGTCAACGTTGACCGGAGGTCAACGGTCAATTTAGGTCTAACGGGTTTTAGGCTTGAAATCCGGATTAGGGTTTAGGTTAAATAGGATTAGGATTTTTTGGGTTTTAGAAACCTAGGGTTTTTGGATTAAAAGGGTTTCATGGTGAAAAGGCTTTAGGGTGAAGAAATGGGGTTTGGGCTTAAACTCAAACACACACACACACGGGCTGCACACACACACAAGGCAGCTGGCCTTAAGGCCTCACAAAAACAAACAGGGCTTTAAGCCCTTTGAATTAAACCGGCCCAAGGCCTAAATATATATGAGGCCCGAGGCCTTTAGGGGTTTTAAAAACAAAACGAACAAAATTAAAAACTAAAAGGGGCTGGGGGTTTTGGGCTAAGACAACACGGGCCTAAGGCCCGAGGGGTTTTCTAAAGGGCCTGAGAGGCCTGGTTTTGCCGAAGAAGAAGGCCGGAGATTCGGCCGGAAAACCACCCAACTTTAAACGGCTATAACTTTGTCACTACTCAACGAAATCAAGCGAGACAAAAACAAAAGTTGTAGTCGTCGAAGAGACGAAGAGAATGGTACCTCACACGACGTCTAACTCGCCGTGGTTTGGCCGGAAAATGCTTCGAAAGCCTCGGAGGTCGCCGGAAACTGGGTAAAATTCAAATGAGTATAACTTCTTCAATACTCAACGAAATTGAGTGAAACAAAAAGGAAAGTTGTAGTACTCAGGGAGACGAAGAGATTGATACCTTTCACGCCGGCCAACTTGCCGTGGTTTGGCCGGAAATGACCTCGAAAGTCGCCGGAGTCGTCGGGGGAAACTTGGGTGTTCTCTGGGTGTCCCGGAGCTTCGCCGAGACGGGGGAGAGAGAAGAAAGTTCCTGAGATGATGGTGGTGTCGTCTTCGTTGATGTGGTGTGGAAGTGAGGGTGTGTGGTTTTGGTTCACGGGGAGAAGGAGAGAGTGCTGAGAAAGAGCACGGGAGAGATAGAGAAAAGAAGAGAGAGAGACCCGGAAAACACACAAAAAATAAAATAAAATAAAACAAGGTAGGCCCCACGGGCTCACCAATTAAGAATTACAACTATTTTTAAAATAAAATAGGGTTGGAGCGTTTCAGTTTTAATTCTGGAGCAACTGGTCAAGAAATGTACAAAGAATATTGACAATTTGACCAGTGGACCTCTTGTCCCCCAAGGCTCCCTCTAGCATATTCCCCCTTCACCAACCAAAACAATTAGTTTGGTCCTTACCAACAGGAAAAAGAAATTAGTTTGGCCAAATTGAAAAGATTAATGCTTGGGAGATCCAATAATTATATCATATTACTATAATAGTGTATCATTATATGTGACAAGAGATTCATACAATTAATATATTTATTTAAATAAATTCATTAATTGATGTGACATGTACAAATCACTTGCCACATGTGATGATGCACCAATGTGGTCTCCCTAATATTTTTTCAATTGAATATCATTTAACCAATTGATTGTTGACCCAATCGTTTCATTGTTTTCCAACGAATTGGTCTTGTCTATTTTTTCTATGTCACAATTAGATACTAAAACGCTTTTTTGATTTGGATGAATTTATGTAAGGATGATCTTTAAATGAAGATCTACAAAGTGAACAGTTCAAATCATGCGAAAATATTGTAGAGTCAACCCAAATGCGTGATCAACATCGTATTAAATTTGTTTATGCTCAAAACTACTGGGTGGCCAACAAAAACTAGTACAGTTAACCCTTTGTGGGCTTGGAATATAAAGCTACATTATGAACAAAATAATCTAAATGGTTCACCCAGAAAAATGGGTTATGTCAATTGTAGTGATTTGATATACATTTGTTGTGGATTAGAATAACACTTTACCATCTTGTATAGGCCCTAAGTGAGCCACAAAGGTCTTGGGTCTTTAATTTTCTCACTGCCCTATCATTTAATGGGCTGAAGACGTAGATACGACCTACAAACTATTTCTCCATTATCCATATAACACGTGGAGAGAAGTGATATTTGCTCAGAGCTAACTGCATGGTTTCCCAGGTCGACTTGTACTGAGTGGTGTGCGCACCGCTCGCCCAAGAGTGGTTGGAAAGTACTTTAGCCGAGAGTTGTGCCTGACAACATTTACATCTCTTCATAGACTTTTTTTCCTGTCGACAAACCTATCCATTGAGCTGGTTGGCTAGGAGTTGTGTATAGACAAACCTATCCATGGAGCTTCATGCTAGATAGTTGTCAAGTCTGCTAACCAGCTCGAACGGTCGGAAAATACATTTAGTTTTTGTGCTCATCTCTCTTTAGTGGATTTTTTTTAGGGAACTTTAACGAAAAGCACCCGGTACTGTTCACTTTAACGAAAAACCACAGTTTTACACTTTTTCATTAGTTTTCTTTTTTTCTTTTTACTTTGGTTTTTTGGCATTTATAATTTTTTTACAATGCGGGTCGGGTTTGGTACAACCCTGCATTCAAACGGTAAGGTAAAGCCCTTAAACCCTGATTTCCCAACGTTCGAAACTTTGCAATCCCAAAACCCTAGAGCCCAATTCACTGTTTGGGGCCGAAGAAATTACGAAGATAAAATCAATGTCAGAAAATCTTAAGCACCCACTCGAACTAGATAGCATCAGTAGCTCCCAATTTCCCCAAAGGCCTCCAAAGGTCTCCAAAACCGCCGACGATCTCAGCGACGGCGATCAGGAATCACAGCAACCTCAACGGATGAGCCAACAGGCTCGAATCCAGCGGTATCTACTGGCAATCGAGTACATTGGTACTCGCTTTTCGGGCTCGCAGCAGCAGTCCAATTGCCGCACAGTTGTTGGAGTCCTTGAGGTGATTTCTGTGAAATTTGAGATTTTAGTGATAAATGCTACGTCTTTTTTTCGTTACCAATGAAAATTTCATTGCTTTTGAATTGTATTGTCCTTTCATTTCCTCCGTCATGGGATCGTTGAGTTGCGGTGTACGAATTGTTCGAAATGTTCATTTTGTTGCAAATCAAGTGGTTGGTTGGTTGATTTTTTGAATTTTGTAGGAGGCATTTCGTAAATTTATTGGCCAGCCGGTTTCAATTTTCTGTTCCAGTCGAACTGTAAGTCTACTTGTGACTTTGTTGTATTTGGAATTTGCTACACTAGTTTTCTTCGACTTGTTATTTCGTAACTCGGAAGAAGTATAAGAGTGACAGTATTAAGTGTCACTTTGTCGTCTTTAATTTCTAGCAAGCATTATATTAACTGGGAGATGGGGTGGATGTATTCCTTTTTGTTGTTGTAGGATGCAGGAGTTCATGCCTTGTCGAATGTTTGTCATGTAGATGTCAATCGCATAAGCAAAAGGAAGCCTGCTGAAGTGGTATGTCATTTAAAAATAAAATGTTATAACAGTGATGCACTGCATATAATATGGGACAAGAGAAGTGAAGTAGTGCAGTTAAATTAGCAATCTTGGTTGTTCTGTTATGGAAGCTGTTTCATTCCCATGAGGTTGCCCTCAAATTTCAAGGACCTTTTAGTTAAAGAAAGTGTGTCGGTGATAATTGTTGTCTTTTAATAGCCCTATGTTGGTATTCAGCGTGGGTAGACAAACATTTGTTGCTTGCATACACAGAGGCACCTACACTCAACCAATTAAAATTTCCTTTGTACTTTGTGGTAAAAGAATTATAAAGATATCATATTTGAACGGTTCTGGTTGCTATAAAAGTTACTTTTGTTTGTGTTTAAATGCAGTTAGAACCCCATGAACCTTCAGTTGTCAAAAGAGCTGTGAATCATTTCTTACAGGTGTGCTTTCTTTTAATTGTTCGAATCACAAAAATATCATTTTGGAGACTTAGTTTGACTGTATATGTGGATTGCGGATTTGAAACCAGAGCCAATTGATACTTTATAGTTTTGGTCTAATGAGGAGATCCTGACACTTTGTTCTTGTTCCATCAGAAGAATGAAGGTGATGTAATGGTGATAGATGTTCAAAGTGTTCCAGCTGATTTTCATGCTCGATATAAAGCCCAAGAGCGCACGTAGGTACTCATGAATCGCAATTATGTAGAAAACAAATGCAGTCTTATGTCTGGGGACTCATATATATGTTAGTAACAGTATGCATGTAGATTTTTCCATGCTTATTTGACTAGATGGTAGAACATTCAAATTAGTCTGGCAAATGTAAACTAGATTGCAGCTATCTGTCATTTCACATAGTACGGTGGTATCCACCAATGAAACTTCTGTAGAATTGATCATAACCTTCCAATGGTTGGGTTACTGTACGCTAATTGCGGTTAGAATGTTTAACATAGCAGTATTGTTTTGGATTGTGTCAGAATAATGTAGTTAGGCCTGATTCATGTATAATTAAATTCAGTGACTAGAACTATACATGATTTATTGTTTTACTGGCTTCGTTTAAATTTCTTCAGGTATTTCTACCGTCTTCTGTTTGGACCAGAGCCTTTGCCAACCTTTGAAAAAGACCGCGCATGGCATGTACCCAACGAGCTGGATCTTTGTGCTATGCAGGTTCCTTAGCAGTTTTCCAAATATTATGTTTGCTCTAAATATATCTGGTCATTAATTTTCGGTCTAATGCAATTTCTTTGATTCAAATTGATGCAGGAAGCATGCAAAGTTTTGGTTGGACATCATGATTTTAGTTCCTTTAGGGCAGCAGGTTGTCAGGTTGTTCCTCACCTCCTAATTAGCTTGGATTTAATGTTCTTCCCCTTGCCTTGTTTGCTTTTGACACTGATATTATATTATGAGGGTTTTGTTTCTTTTCAACCCAAAAAAAAAGTGTGTACTATGAGATGTATCTTTATTGGTTGAGGAAGCATCTGGTTGATGAAGCATCTACTATATTCCCATCTCTTTATGGTCTTTGGTATCCACTGTCTCTTGAGATATTCCTTTTCTTAATCTTCATTGAGATTGAGGAAGCGTCTGTGAGTTAAAGTTCACCAAAAGATTGGCAAGAACTTATCTGCGAGTTTAAGTTGTTTTTGGTTCCTGCTATCATAGGCAAGACTGGAATAGAAACAGTCCTAAATGTCCGTACTCCACAGTTAAACTCATTGAAGACTTGATTAGGTGATACGGATTTCTATTTCTAATTTAATGTTTTCAAATTATGTTATCTATAGGCAAAATCGCCGATCAGAACGTTGGATGAACTTAATGTTTCTGAGGTAGTGTCAAGTCCTTATTTTCCATCAATAATGGAGAGGAAACAAAACAATTTAGTGGAGGAAGATCCTCATGCCCACGCTAACAAATCTGAGACTGGTACATCCTCTAGTTTCAATGGAGGACTAGGATTTGGCATGAGAAAAAAGCACCGTTGCTTTGTGGTAACCGCGCGAGCACGTTCTTTTCTGTACCACCAGGTTGAGCTCTTCTTCCTAAACCTCTTGCATATTATTTCCTTTTATTTCCTGTATGTGTTGGATGCTCTGTAAATACACACACACACACACATGTATATATATATTTTAAGGACAAATGACTAATGCTCTAAAATTATGTAACTGTACACAATGTTAACTTGCTGTTTAAATATAAATGTTCCTTCTTCCTAAACGTCTTTTTCTAATTTGTTTTTATTAACACCTGCTGTTTATGTGATCTTGATTTCTGTTCACAGGGAGAGGGTAATGTTTCTCGAGTTTGCACTGTTTTTGTTACTTTTTGAGTGTGTACTTTGCTAGTTTAAAAGTATTTTGGTGTTCAGGTCCCTAATGACTTTACCACCATCCCCCGTAAAATAACTTAACAAATATATCATTAGGAACTTCGGTGAAAATGAACAGGGATTCAGTTGCAGTATACATATTAATACTGTTTTTGTTTACATTGACTTGAAATTTTTTCTTCTCGTTTCTGAGTTTTCAAAATTTTCACATTGTAAACCTCTCGTGTAAATGCGTTGTGCCCTCTTTAATTAGCACTCTGTCATGAGTTCTATAGAACCGTTTATAGTCTATCTACCTCCAGTTCAAGCGGTTACAATCTGTTCACTGAGATTGTCGAGATTTATGCAGGTTAGACTGCTTGTTGGTGTACTCAAATGCGTTGGCACCGGAGATTTAAGAATACCTGATGGTGGGCAGCATCGATTCTTCCATGTTTTTTATTCTTTGCAGTTTGATCCTTGTCTTGTAATGATCTAACCCCTTGTTCTGTCCTAATGAAATGGAATTTACAGTTGAGAGGATCTTGAATGCAAAGACGGTGACTGCTGCTAGTCCCATGGCGCCTGCTTGTGGTCTGTACCTTGGACACGTGAAGTACGATTTGCCATGAGATGAAGACGGCAACTCTGTCTGATGCTTGCGGTGGACTTCTGTGGACTCTTAGAGAAGACATGTCTTCGGGGTTTGCATTAAGGGTAAACGTTCTATGTTTGCACCAGTTCATGGGACTCTCGCGCGCAACTGCACCAAAGCCGACAGTAATCCTACAGTGGATGTTTGTTGATTCAACTTTCCGGGTTACACCGGGCGCCAATTTTCACAGCCCACGGTGCAGTCATTGTCGATCCAAATTTCTCAAAAAGTTCATGAACACGGAAGCATTTTTAAGCAGTAGATGTCAAGTTAATGGTTGTAAATCGATGACCATGTAAACGATGTTCTATTTTCCAAACTAAGGATTGCCTCATTGCCAATACTAATGCCGCCATTTTTTCGGAGCACCGAAGGCAAGAGTACACTTCAAAACAGACTAAACCAAAAACACCATCTCTATCGGCTTGGATCTGATGACTGTAAGCGAAACTAAGTTGACTATAGCAGTGCACTCTGCACGTAATTCGTTTAAATTAACCTAGTGAGAATTCAGACTACGTTATTATGAAAATCGTACACAACATTAGTCATCGAAAGAGATCCGGAATTTGAATCTCCTCTCCCTGCAAAGTAAAATAAATAGAATTCTGCTACTACTTCAAGTGATTTACTAGCACCACTCGCCACAATTACACGGGATTAAACAACCGCAGGCACGAGCTTTCCCTCACCGTCCTAGAGTGCCAAAACGATGTCAGGTAAGTATAAATACAATGGATGCAAGATTTCGAGATGCTCCTGGAGACGGCCAATTTAGCACCTCTTGATGCTGCTGCATCATTGGTAAATTAACAGGTCTCTGGCTTGCTCTTGGGTCACCCTCATAGGCAAGAACCACAACAATCCTTTTCCTTTCAGTCAACGAAGAACATGCAATCGAAAAATCTCGAGCTATTACTTCACAAACATAACAGGAAAGAAAGTAGAGAATGACTGGAACTGGAAGACAACTATCTAGAACATTTGTCACCATAGCTGAGTTTCCATCCTCTGCTCGATTTTTCATTACGCATCAGTAACAACTAAAACTGCACTGCCCAAGCATGCGTGTACAGGGATATTTCAGTTACCTCATATGCCCAAAAGACAGGGACTTACTTCATGAGCATGTTAATAGCCGCATGAAGAGGAATACCACCAAACCGTACTATTGAGTGGCAGACAGACTTACTATTGTTAGGGAAGAGAGTCCCACATAGATCCAAAAGCATGGGATTTTCAAACTGCAGGCTTTCATATGCTTTAACTTTCTTTTGCCTTTCTTGCGATTCCTGCAACTGAATCAGGCCAATAAATGAGTAAATTTTTATATACAGCTTCGAAATTGACTAAATTTCAGATGCAAATTTCAAACCTCCTGAAAAACAAGAGTTAGAATGCTCTCCTTTTGCAGAAGCAAGTTTTGTTAAACTCAACAGTTAGACTCCTCTTTTTTCTTTTGTATATATTGTAAATAAATTAAACCTTAAGTAAAATCAACACATGGTTGATGCCAAAGAAACAAAAATGTTATACCTTAGGTTGTATCGACTACAATTCCTTCCTCATGCTGCACCGATGTATTCTCTTTGTATCAGTTTGGACTCCGGCGGAAGCATCAGCTGTTATTGGTAGCAATTGCTTATTAGGCTCTTCTCTTGCCTTCTCAAACTGCTCTAGTGCTTCACCATCATCTTCGTCTTTCATCTCTGTGTCACTATCTTCCTCCTCATTCCCCTCATCATCCTCTTGCTTATCCCCTGACGGACCATACTGCTGCTTGGATACCCCCATTTTCGTATCCTCTCCCTTTTCTTCTACCTCCGCATCTATATTGGGCTCCAATGATCAATCCATATCCGAAGATGAATTCCCACCAGGACTTTCCGCAAGTGAAGATTCCTAATGAGAGATCAATTTTATTAACCAAAAGGAGATTCAAAAGTAATAAAGTAAGAATCATCGAACAATAATAGTAGTATTAGCAGCAGCAGCTTAGTAATAATGAAAATAAATACATAAATAATAGGTAATAAGAATTCCTGTTATCATGTTACTCTTCCTAATTTCGAATTCCTGTTACTCTTCCTAATTTCAATACTGTATGCAAATGAAAACACCCTCCATTGAGTACATTGGATCTGTAAACTTTAACGCTGAATCAAAATTGCAATTTTTTTTTTTTGAACAAAGATTTACTAGTTCATGACATCTCTTAAAATTTATCGCAAAGTCTTTATGTATTTATTAATTTACTTGATTACGTTCTTAGCAATGCATCTGATTGCAGGATTTCAAAGGGAAAACCCACTTTAAAACTTCCAGTTTACCTCTTGCTTGAGTTCTTGAGCAAGACTATTATCACTAGCTCCATGGCTCTTCGCAATTCGATCATTCTCCTCACGCTCCCTTCTATGGCCTTTTAAAACACAGATAGCACATAAGCAATCCACTTTATGATGCCTTCTGAAAACGGAAGAAATCTCAAAACATAAGAAAAGCTTTTCTAGCATCGCGCTATAAAAGTGAAGATTAAAATGTATCAACAAGGGGAAAAGGCGAAGCTGTAAAACACTCACCATTAGTTCCTCTTGGTTGTCCATTACACAACCCGGCTGCAGTCCAATACTTGGTGAAATTCTTCTTCACCTGCCTCATAAGATCCAAAATGTAGTCACCTTTACTGTTATACTTATAACAATTGTTCCAAATGTACTCCACATCTCTGAAAACATCCTCGGAATTATTATACTTGCGACCCTGTTCAAGATTACTGCATATTGTTCCAAAATCCATTGGTGTATCTATCACATCAAAGTAATCCTGATTCCAGACAAACCCCACGCCCGCAAAACAAAACACAATGTCATTAATAAAAGCATGAGCAAAGGAAATTAGTTATGATGCAGTATTCATAGCATAACAGTCGGAAATCGAACCTCAGAGACATGAAATGGAGCACACAAAAAAAAAAAAAATACCAAGAAAAAGAAAAGGCATTGTTCAAGACTTCAGTTCAAATTTTTGTGCAATGTGTATCTGACAAGAGTCGCATGAAACAAACATAAACAAACAACTATTGAATAATCTTATCAATAGAGTTCCTAATTCTTGCTTGTTATAACGAGAATCTTGACCAGCCATCTTTGATTCTCTTTTATGTGGACTCTCAGTCCGTGCAGGAACAGGATCAGTACTGTGGTTGACACTAGACCCCAACTCCTTTGATGTTTTAATCTTTGTACTCCCAGTTTTCTTCGACGCATTCCCAGAAGCACCAACGTTTATTTCATGCAATGAATTGGCACCATCCTCCATTTTCTCAGAAACCACACCTTGTCTTTCCAAACCAACTTGTTGGCCACTCTTACCTGTATCACTTTGTGTGTATGCATCAGAAGAAGTAGGCTGAGAATCCATTGTTCTCGAAGTCCTAAGCTTCACTTTAACTCTTCCCACCGATTTCCCAATTCCCCTATCAATTGAGCTGTCAGGATTTAAGAAAAAATTAATTAAAAAAAAAAAATAAACAGTCTCCTTTTATACAGACTAACAAAAACAAATCCAAGAAATTAAACTGCAATTGGAGAAACCAAAACATAAAAAAAATTCAACCTTTTCGGTCAATTAAAACTTTCAAATTACATGTAAAACGTCTCCAATTAAACCGATCATAAACCATTGCTATAAACAACCCAAACAATTTTCAATAACTTAAGAAAAAAGGTGCTTTTTTCCAGCAATTCTCTAACCCAAATTCAGTCAAGGCAACGCAAAACCCTAAAAACAAGTAAATTAAACAATTGCAGAAATCCCTAGATTCATCAACAACCAAGGAACTGATAAAAATTCAAACTTTAGTCGAAAGAGGGAGAGAAAGATACTGTACCACTGCAGGAGCAGCTGATTATTTGAAGAAGTAAACCGTTTCGCAACTTTTCAAAAAACGGGTACAGCGCGAGCGTTTTCTGTTCCCGCGAGATCGAGGAGTGAGGCGGAGCGACAAGTGTATTGATACTGTTGGGCCCTCCAATTGGGCTAAAATGAGCCCATTTAATGGTTTACTCCCGAGCCGAACCGGACTGATTGGTCAATACTCTTAAGTTTTGATGTAAACGTTTATATTCGAATTTAATAATATTTACTTAAAAAAAAATGGTTCACTCCCCAGCGAGGGTCGTCGCCGAATCCTCTTTGTGAGGATCTGGGGATTCTCCAATCATATTCGTTAATCGTATATCGTACAATCAATTTTCGTCAAGTACTGTTTATATTCAACTTTTTAAAAAAATTTACAATAATTTCTTATCATACGATGTACGATGAACGGATGTGATTTGAGAATCCCCGAGACCCTCACAAAGAGGATCCGGCGAGAATCCTCACTCTTCACTCCAAAGCCCGTTAAATTTGGAAACATTTATGACTCTTAAAGCAACTTTTATAAAAGTACTTTCGTTAGAAGTTGGCTGAAATTTTTAATAAACTTACGAGGGATTTCTGAAAATAAATAAATAAATAAATAAAATAAAACATCTTTATACCTCACTTAGAGAAAATGTTTGAATTGGCCACGGAGATTTTAATTTTGGTCCTAATATGCCAAATCCAATTCTGTTAATTTTTTGTCAAAAATTTTCTAAGCACACCCAAAATTGATTGTCTAGCAACCCATTCTTCAATTTTTTTTCAACAAATATGTAATAAAGAATATAAAAAAAAGTAGAAAAGAAAATAGACAAACCGCCCCACTCACGCTTCCCCTTCTCTCCCCGCCGCTCCAAGGTTGGAAATATGTTGAGGTGCTGAAGTTAGAATTGTAGCACATGGGTGATTATGTAAATTCAAAAATAAATGTTTTGTAAGAATTCTCAAGGATTTAGAAGATTGTTTGTATTAATAGAATTTCTCTTCTTTTATAGAATAAATAATACAGGTGTCTACTTCCTATTGGCGGGGAACACCACTGACATAAGTGTGTTGGAGTTCCGGAACCCCGAAAAACCTCTCTTAAATTTTTTTGTTTTACCTTCTTCATCCCGTCGCTGCAACCTTTTTCCCAGCCGCCGTCGCTTCAACCTTCTTCCAAGCCGCTCCTCAGCCGTTTCCAAGCCGGTAACAGTGTTTGTCTGGGCTTCTGGCGGCCGAGTTGGCTGGTGAGTTGGTAAATTTGGATTTTCTAGAACAATTTTTCCGTTGCTAGTTCTGGTATTCCCTGTATTTCATACTGAATAAGCTCATACTTGTTCTGTCAATTTGAGTGTTAAATTTGGAATCTTTCTTTTTTCTTGATTGGTATTAAGGAAAATTATTATTATTATTATTATTATTATTTTTGTGTGTGTGGATAGTTTTGCAGTTTTTGCAGAAAAAAAATATGAATTTGAATCCTAGAGAGTGAAAAAAATGGTACTTGGATTTGATAGGAGTGATTTTTTTTGCATTGGGTGTGAATTTTGAAATGGGTTTGTAGTGGGTGAGCTGAAGTTGAACAAGCTCCCAGAGCCTAACACCAACCTCCTATGTAATCCTTAATGATAGCATAATTTTGGTGGGGATGAAGTTGGACGACTGAGAAAATGCTACCAATGTTTCTTACTTTTTTTCATTTGACATGGCATACTGTTGACAATTATTCGTTAAACGGTTATAGAGTATGTTAAATGTTGAGATTGGCTTCTCTCTCTTTTTTTCCTACCCTTTTTCCGGATGTGCTTTACTTTCATAGTTATAACTTGGGATATCCTTTAGGGTCAGTCGATCGAGTGCCTTCTAGTTTGGGACGAGAGGGTGGTCAAAAGTCTAATTGATATACAAAAGATCTCATTTTTTGTGTCCATACATGATATTATGAATGTGTTGGAATAAATGTCCTCCGCATGAAGGATGAAGTTCTTCACGTTGGTTTGTTTAGAAATCTGACAATGACGATGTGTAAGGTCTCAATATTTTGATTTCGTTTATTTTAGGGTGAATTGAGAAAATGAAGAAACAGTTATCTCTAAGACATCAATGTTTATTTCATGATTGTAATTATTCTTGTGCTACCTTGTTAGCTAGGAAACTGTGCTGACATCTACTTTCGCCTAATGTGGGCAGCTGTACTCTTGGTGTTAATTATCATCTTTTCTGCCATCCCCTTCTTTTGTTTATATGGTGCGCTATTATATCATAATCAATCACAAGTGAAACTAGAGATGGTTTGTTGTGTTGTTGGTTTTATGTTGGGTTATTATTGAAGTTAGTGGTGCCTGAGTTTTGATTGAATATGGTAACTGAAAGATATATAAAGCTGTCCTTTTCTTTTAAGGTAGCTTGTCAGTTTTATTCAAGCATTAGGGCTTTTGGATTGATCCAGAGCTGCAGTAGCAATAGCAGTTTTAAGTAGTGCATATAAAACCAAAAGAATTGGACAATCATGTTAATACTTCAGTTGGGGCTGAATTTCTAATATTATGTGCTTTAAATAGGATAGAGAATGTAAAGTATCATGCATCAGAGCTCAGAATTATAGCTACCTCTTTTGAGTTTTAATCTAGGAATTTATTTTGTACTTCGTATAAAAGTTCCTATTGTTATTCTCTCATTTGTACTTTTTTTTGTTATTAGTTGTATAGAGCGGGTGGAAGAGTTCTAATGGAGGAACTTTTAGGGTTTACGGAAGAATCAAGAGATAATGAGGACCTGGGTATATCATCGTTATCATCATCATCATCGTACAGCTACAAATTGGTTCCCTGGTTGAGCTGGGATGAATGGCTTTTTGTTGAAGAATCTCTCTTTTCTAATTCACCTGATATTGTGACCTCCGCTTTGAGAAGAGTAAGAGAAACCCAACTTCATGTTTTCATTTTGCTTACCATGGAATGTTTTTCAAAGATAATGTTATGTTAGAAATTTCACGTGGATATGCCTTGTTGTTTTGTTTGTAGTAAAGGAAATAATTGCTTTGGCGGGCTCATAATGAAATTCTTAGCGTATTGTTGAATCCGTTTGAATCTTGTGTATCATTGCTATGATTTTGAAAATAATGAACACAATTATTTTTTTGAAGAGGTTTTTCCTTCTTATTGATTTTTTTTGGAGGTTTCTGGCATTGACATAAATTCTTTTGATGTTTGAATTGTTGTTTTCAGATATCAACATGGAGAAGCAGAGGCTGTCTTCCTATTGTGATTGAAGTTACAGCATCAATTATTGAAATTCAGCAAAAAGATCCTCACTTTAGGTACCTTTTACTCCCAACTCCTCTGCGCCTGTTTGGATCAACTTCTTATATCCTTTTTTACCCAGTGGGGGTAGGGATGGGGGAGGGGATACTTCATGCTAAATGTTGTTTGCTTTGTGGTTTTGTTTGTATATTTATCTCATATATTGTTTTGAATTTCTTCAAAAGATTGTCCTCCTTTGCCAACTTCGTGTGTGTGTTTTTGACTTATAGAAAGGACCAGTCAAATGATGCTTTAGATAATTGCAGAACAGCTCAATCAAATGATGTTTCGCTCTCAGAGGAAATGCTGGCCATGTTATACTGTATGGCAATCATGAGGTGAGGTTCCTTTAATTTTGTGCTATTAAATCTCTCCATTCTTTTCTTTAATCCTTATCATTTTCTGATGTATGAATGCATAGCTTAGTACGGTCCTAATAAGCACAGTGCAATAATTAGTAAAAACGTGATCCTTGATCAGCTATACTGCTGAATAAACACACACACACACACACACACACACACACACACACACACACACACACACACACACACACACACACACACACTCTTTCGCTCTCTCTTTGGGAGGTAGTTTGTAGTAGGTTTAACTGAGAGGTAGACTACTTCGTTCCATGTATGGGCAGCAAGCATGTTAAACTTGTAACAGAGCAAAAAATTAGTAAGATACATAAGCTAGTTGCATCAAGTGCTGTCTTTTTTCATGTTTCTACAAATATTGCATAGCCTTTGACTTATCCCAGCTACAATACAGTTTAAGCTACCTGGAACCGTGTCACCCAATAAGTCTTTAGAAGAAAACTTTTGACTAAATTCTTGTAGATGTATATATTCTTAGAACCAGTCATCTGTCAGAGTCCTTAAGCATCCGGAATTTGGTCAGGAATTTTTCTTGATACGTATTCACTGCTTGTTATCTTCAATTTAAAATATCTTGTGCTATGGGTTCTTGTAAGTATAGCATGCAGATTTTTTTAAATTTTTTTCCATCACCAAACTGATATATCAACACAGTTTTTGAGGTTTTCATGGTTAGACAGAACGGAGAAATTCAGTCATAGGGGATTAATGTTTAAGCTCATATTTATTTCTGCCTCCTTTTTCTGTTTATCATTGTTGCATGTGATGCTACATAAATAAATCACCTTCACACATGTTGTCTTGTTTCTGAAGGCTTGTGAATGGTGTGGTTGAGAAGACACGGAAAAAAACTGAGGTTTCAATTGCTGTGGCTGCCGATGCAATTGGCATTCCACGTACACTGATTGATATTCGTCATGGTGAGCAGCTCCAACTTTTATTTTGTAATCTTTTGTTAGTTGGTTAAGCCTTTAGGCCTTCCTGTTGGATAACCAACCATGCCCATCGACTTATGCCTACCTTGCGCACAGGGCATTTGCTATTTAAAGTAATTTTTAAACACTCATGATACTGCACATTGATCTTTTTTTTTTTTTTTTTTTTTACTTTTTTATTGCTTGAATTTTCAGAGGGATCTCACCGCGAACTTCCCACACTTGTCGTTGTTCGTACTGGTTCACTTAAGGTACATATCATGCTTGGTATATCAAAAACATCCCACCTTCGAATTCTTCAAATGCTTAATCATAATCTTTAGATTTTATGTTCCACTAATCTAGTTTATTTGGTGATGAATAATTATAAAAGAATCCTAGTAAGACTTCCTTCGATGTTTGATTTAACTACTTGTGGGTGCTGCACAGAATGTTGGTTTTATTGATAATATTTCTGAATTCTGTTACGTTGTGAAAACCAGCTTTCTTTTTCCATATAAACATAGGGGAAATATTTTGTGATGAGACTAGATTCTTATTTCAGGTTTCCTACACTTGACGTTATTCCAGCCTATTTTGGCTCCAAAAACATCATATTCTGCATTTCAATCGTACCAAAATGATATTATTATCTCTCTATGTTTCTAGTCACCTTCGTGTGCTAGAACTTTCAGATCTTGAATAGGGAAAGATTAATTGACCCAAAAAGAGAAGAAAGAATAGGGAAGATTAAACTTGTTTCTGAAAACAAACCCTTTACGGTTAGTCTCTTAATCACCAGATATTACTAAGTTATTTTTTAGGATAAAAAGAACCCTTTACAGTTATCTTAACCTTTTATGGCTCCTCTGTTACAAGTTCATTTTAGTTTATGACAATTTGTTCCTTTTACCTTTTTTTTCCTACTGAAATACTTCAATGATTATTACGATTTATGAAGAGGATGACTTGCTTTAAATTTGAGAAGTTAAACATTATCCATGGTTGGTGTTTTTAGGCCCTTGATTGGTTAAAGTGTTATTACTGGGAGCCTCAGAAGAAGAAAATTCCATTTCATGGTAATGAAACTGCTGAGATCAGAAATGAAATTAGGTCTAAATTCCATGAATTGGCCTTCTGCTTAAGAGTTAAGGAGACTCCTCAGCCCCATTCTTCAAAAGTCAAGAAAAAGCGTGGTATGGAAATTTCATTTCTTCAAGTTATATTGATAATAGTGCCTAAATCTCTGGTATATATAGGATACAATATTTTCCAATGCTTTTGGATTGAGAGCAAATATGCGTTGCACCATATATATCTTTTCATGTTACTTGCAGCTACATTTTGTAGGGATTGTGATGTTTTTGTCTCTTGGGGATATTTCCTGTTTGTCTGGTTAGAATATAAAATGTACGTAAAATTACGAATCTGTAATTTTCTCCAATGCTGAAATGGATATTCAGAGTTTTTTTACTTTTATTTTTATTGTTTTGGAAAATATACATTATGATGGAATGGGAATGGATTATCATGGTTTGTATTCAATCAGCAAGCTATCTCGCAATCACATGGGAAGGTCAGAAAACCGTTGATTGTTACGTTGTGTTCCTAGGAAATGGAATTTACATAGCTAAGCTGTTGTAAAGAAGTCATTATCGGCATGTATCATGTGTACGATGTATACTCTCTACTGAGACATCTCCATGTAGTCCATCTGTATGTCTTGTTTTGGGTTTGATTTAACATTTTTTATTTGTAGTGCTACACCTGCATGTTTCTCTTTTTATACTTGCATGTCTTATTCGTATTGTTGAATAAAATGTTCAGAAAATGTTCCTCACTTACTCTTTCTTATAGTATGCTCACAGCCATCTTAATTCTGATCCGATGTCCATGATTAATGAACATTATTTCTCCATCGATTGGGCAAGTAGAGAGCAATCCCAATCTGTCATCTTATTTTTGAAGGATGTCTTTTGAACACATTGATGTTTTGTAAGTATGGTTATTAATTGAGGTACTACATATCCAGGTTCAAAAAAAGACCTTACAAGGATATTGAAAAGTCTTATTGGGATGTATTCCTCCTTCTCCTCAGAGGTGGTTTCTGTACTGTTGGAGTTCTTGTTGGAGGCTATAAATTCCCCAGACTCCCCAGACCTTCCAGTAAACACCCAAACTGGCCCAAGACTACTTATTTCGATGAATGAGTGGGAGCTTGTGATAACAAAAATTTTAAACAAGGAACCGGAGTTGCTTCTGGCTCTTCTGAATGCAGTTCTTGATAAGATTGAGACTCAGGAAGCAGTGATATATGAGACGGGTAATACTGTGACCTATTCTTATGCTGAGGTTGTGTATAGATTCAAAATATATTTTACAGGGTAACTAGGTTGCTTTTTTATCCAAATGCTGTTATCTTGGTTGCTAAGTTTATGAATTTGTCCAGGACGGTTTCACGCAACATCAGACCGTGGGGCAGAGATACTCCAAGTTGAACACCTCTCTTCTCTGTTTACTTGGCTCGTTGGAAATTTCGAAGGATTAAAGCCTCGCCAAGAAAAAGACTCTGCAGTCGTAATCAAAGTTTCTTCAGCAGAAAAAACTATCTCAAAAGCAATTCTGATGGAACTCCTACGTAAATGTCTTATTGTATCAGCTTCTGCTAATAAAAAGCTCATGGATTCTGCCGCCCATCTTGCACGGCTGACAGGGGACAGCTTCCTAGTGGGAAAACTGCACAAACTCTCTTCGTTTGTTTCATCAAATTCGGATGGTACTGAAGAAGAAGCTGTTCGTATAAACTCAACTGATCAATTTAAGAAGCAAGAAGAATCTATAAGTCATGCGGCAGAGAAGCTAGAGCTGATTAAGCGTCGCATAAGGAAGAGCAAAGCAGTTAAGACCGCAGATGATGATGTCCGAAACACTAACAGATGGGTTCTGGCAAAATCATGGAACCCGTGTCCAATAGGAATGTTGCCTCGAGCTGTAGGGCCTTCCGGCTGCCTTCCTGTTCTGGACGTTAACAATGTCCCGGAAAAGGTTCCTGAAGTACTAGGAAGAAAAGAGTTGTGGGAGTTGAACCAATGCAGCTTCAAGAGACCTAGTTCCGAAATGCAGCTACTAGATAACCCATGTGTTAAGAAGATGAGGGCGACATCGGAAGGTGAGGATGTTCTATCACCAGAAGATGTCGACGGACATCTCATGATAGGCGGGGCGTGGAAGAAAGTCGGGGAAGAGGAGCTACTTGCCATCAAGTCTGCTGTGAGGATGTTAATCTAGTCGCCTACTTTTTTCATGCTAGGAATAGAAGGATAGTTAAATTTAGTGGGATTGGCCACTACATCAGTTTTGGTTTATATTTTCCAGTGATTTATGTTTTGTCAGAAGACATGGCGCAAAAACGAGTTTAGTGGCGTTTTACGATTCATGCAGCCGATCACACTTGGTGGGATAAGGTTTTGTTGTTTGTATTTATTTTTTGTAATTTAATTAAGAGGCTGTTAGGTGATTATTTATCACTCTTAATCTCTATTCAGGTGACAGTAATTATTTGAATCTATGATTTATATTTTTTTATGGGTAAATATCAGTTTACTACTCTCATGTTTGGTCGTTTTTAATATTTATTACATCATGTTTTTTTGTCACAGTCATATTAAAGTGTTAATTTTGGAATAATCTCATACATCTGTTAGTCAAACTGTTAAGTTTGTCGTTAACTGATGATGTGGCGTCTATGTGTACAATGACTGAACACCACGTGCCATTAAAAGGTTCATGTGTTTTTTTTTTTTGGAGAATGAGTAAAAAAAAAATTTCAAAATTCAAAATTCAAAAAAAAAAAACAAAAAACCCGTCTTCTACCTCCCCGAGCACCCTCTCCCTCCCTTCTCTCTTCTGCAACCCGTACCCCTTCCCTCCCTTCTGTCTTGTACAACCTGCACCACTCTCCCTTCTCTCCTCCTTCCTCCCTTATCCCTCCATTCTCTCCTCTGCACCAACCCACCAAGCCCTAGAAAATTAATTTGCAGACCCTCCCATCCGGTTCCATGCCAGCTGGCTGCAGAGTCGGTGGAAACATGTACAATGATTAAAATGATTAACTAATGCGATTTTAGAGTATTCACATGTTTTGAACATGTCCAAGAACAGCAAAAAGGGCATTTGAATGCGAATCACATTTTGATCAAATAATATAATATTTTATTAATTATTTAGTGATAGAATTATAATAATACCGGTTACAAGTGTATACGATTTATATAAGTGTTTTTTTTGTCTCGATGACGGACAAGGATTGTCTACCCTCCATTTTCAGTGTCCTTCTCGTGCTTTTTTGTTTGTGTGGTCACGGTTAAGTCACGTCAACATTTTATATTATTATACATTTTATCTTATTATATCTATAAAAAAAATAATATAAAATATTAACGTGGTTTAACCGTGACCACACAAAATAAGAGAGCACAAAGAGGGCACCGGAAATGGAGGCAGACAACCATTGTCCCTCGATGACGGAGGAGGGGCTGTGCGTGGGTCTCAAGCCTAGTGCCCATCGTTCTTCATTTTATGGAAAAATTACATATATGTAAATATTTTATGGTATTCTTTTTTTATTATTATTTTAATTTTGATGATTCTAAAATATAGAAATAAATAAGTATTATATTATTTAACTTGATAAAATTTGATGATTATTTTAGATGATTGATTAAGTTCAACGACTGAGTTTAATGAATTATTTTAATTGTTATTTTTACTTTATATATATATATAATTTTTTTTTTTTGGACAAACGACATATCTATACGAAGAAGAAAGAGTGGCATTTCATAATAGACTAGCAATAATGTGGTTCAAATTTGTTTTTGATGAAAATCGAACATAGAGTTTCTCAGTTATAAATGAATAAGAATATCACTATACCGTTACTAAATAGCTTACTTTTTATATTATTAATTTTTTTTTGCTTGCCCTGTAGCCAGCTCCATATCTACAACGTTTATCATGTTTCAGCTTTTATCCATATAACTTTTTTATATCTCCACCTTGTAGACATCGATGAAGTCCAATTTAATCTGCTGGGCCTATTCAACCACCACACCACGTGGATTTAATTTGTTGTACCATTTTAGTACGAGTAAGGGAGGACGAGGTACACCACATTTGGGTATATTTGACAAACAAAATTTTCATTATTTATAAGATTATATATAGCGTACTATTTTTTATTCGTATTTTAAGCATACTAAAAAAATATCTCAAATTTCAAATGCAATGAATAGAAGGAAAAAGGTTCTATCACTTAATGTTGTTTAGTACAGAAGATTAGACTAAATTGGATAAGAGTCGAAGCCATTATTCCCCATCCTCCCCAAAAATAGTAGGATTAGAAGTTTCATTATGCCTAATTAATACTCTTCTAATCTCTTCACAACAAAAAACAATTCGAATCTATTTTCAATACAAAAGTACTATTTTTACCATTTATTTGTATCATCTCGCTAATAGAGATGAGATCCATGTGCGTTGGCGGACCCTACCTCTATTAGAGAGATGGAACAAGTGACGGTACACAAATGATAAGTGTAGCACTACTCTTTTTAAGATGATTTGAATTATAAATTTAGTTATTCATTTCCATCCGGTAATCGAAGAAAACCTACGTATACTAGCGAGTATAATTCTTTTCCTCCTAATCTCCTACTCTTCTCTCACACTTTTTTTTTCTTTCTATAAAGAATGGATATAAGATGTTGACATAACTCAATTGTAACTGTTCAAAAAAGAAAGGAAAAAAAATTAAAAATTATGAGAAAAGAGAATTCTACTCCGTATATTAGTCCATGGATTGCTTTGCATGGCAGCAAGTAGAGATATGAACAATGGTGGAGCTAGAAATTTTTTACCGGATGAGCTAGCTTAAAGATTTAAATCTTTATAAACAAAGAAAAAATTTCACAATATCAGCTAGCTTAAGAAAATTTTCATAAGTAAGCCAAAAATTTTCGTTATTCAAACAAATTCAAACTTGTACATGTACAAGAAGCGATGAAAACAAGATGTGAGAAAAAAAGATGGTTTGTAAACTGTATTATATAATTAAACCGAGAGAATTCGAATCAATAACTAAATATATGGTAGGCTACATTCGAAAATCAGTAAAAATTATATGTAAAATTTTATTTTCTACCAAAAGCTACCTGAGCTACAGCCCGGATAGCCCAAGGTTTTTTGGGAGCTCACTGGCTTCGGGTTCTATAGGAACTCCGAAGTTAAGCGAGAAGGAGGTCAGAGCACTCCCAGGATGGGTGACCTACTGGGAAGTTGCTCGTGAGTTTTCAAAAACAAAACCGTAAGGGACTGCTAAACCCAAAACGGACAATATCGTGCTACGATAGTGGAGCGGGTCCGGGAAGTGGTCCGTCCCGAAGCGGAATGTGACATATATGTGATATATGCACACACATACTAATTTATGATATTAAGATATTTGATTATGAATTCAATGAGAAAATTTATATTTCGTGATATTTAAGTATTTGATTAATTTAATGAGAAAATTTATATTTTTTTAATTTCACATGTTAGTAACTTTACAGACATGTGAATGTTAAGAAGTAAAATAATTTTCATATTCATATTTTAATAAATACAAGAAAATCAATAATCACGATGAATTTTATTCTTATTACGTGTAAGTAAACATGTCCCAAGTTTGAAGGACATACTAATATTCTAAAGAGTTAACTTAGGGTGCGTTTGGTACGCAGACGGGACGGGACGGAAAGAATGTGTAATTTTTGAAAAATACATGGGGTATATTTGTCTTAAAATGGTAAAACAGTGTGTTCCACAGACGTGGAACAAACCCGTTCCAGGGGGGAGGTGGGACGCAAAAACACCCAAAATCTGTCCCGTGGAACAGCCCGTTCCACCCATTTTTGGCGTACCAAACGCGGGACAGAACGCCTCGTCCCGTTCCGTCACACGTACCAAACGCACCCTTAATGACAGAACAAAATGGTCGCATAGTACTATTGTCTTGTAATTTTGTTTAAGTTCGATTTTTGTAAAAAATGAATTTAAACTACATTATTATTAACTTATTATAAGGTTAAGCATATCACCTCTACGTAATGTAGATAATGTCGTAGTTGAAAAAAATGACAGAACAAAAGTGAATGGAGATGCAGACACACTTCGATTTTTTTTTTCAAAACTTTGAACACTTTCTGGAATCTTCTTTCTTACTTTGAATGATATATGTGGACCCGATCTATCTACCTGCTTATCTGCCTTTCTTTATATACGCGCGTTATTCTTTCATCAGTCATCACCACATACACCAATAACTTAGAGAGAGAGAGAGAGAGAGAGAGAGAGATGAGGAATGCAGGAAGTGATGAGTTTGCTGGTGATGGGGAAATACAGGAGCAGCAGAAGCAGAGGTGGTATTCATCATCTGCATCAAAGTTGGTGCTGCCTCAACTGTGTTTAAATCACGTGTCATTTGTTTGCAAGTCGGTGAGCAAATCAGTGAGGTTCTACGAGGATGTCTTAGGTTTTGTGCTCATCCAACGCCCTTCTTCCTTCAAATTTGAGGGAGCTTGGTACGTATTCTTTCGTACTTCCATGCCCATCCTTTTTCCCAATTTAACACCCACACGCTATGTCGATCACTCACCATTTGACCTACATATATAAAGGGTAGTGCTGATCAAACACCCACTTTTACTTCTCATGCACTTATCTTAATTTTTGACTGGCGGATTTAATGAAATGAAAGAGATAAATGGTAAAAATTAACAAAGATGTATAAGAGGTAAAAATTAATACGTAAATAACAGTACGTTGATATATATTTCAAAAGGAAAAGGCTTGAACGCACGGTAACTAGGAACTTTGGATGCATTTTTCAAGGGTTGGTCTAGGAGAAAGTGATCGAGTTAAGGTTTAGGTACTGTAATTTGAGTTACTCTCACAAATGTACCACAAATGTATTTCTTGTTGTCACTGCCAGCTCTGTTTTGACCCACAATTTGACCGAAGGATCAAAATATAATATTGGTTTATGTGATACAAGAGCTCTATAGAAAAAAGATTAATTAGTCAAATTCAATACCTTTTTTAACAATCATAATTTAAGAGTGTATTTTAGACCGGATCATTTTCCTAAGGATTTTAGAAATTTGATGATTGTGACCGTTTACCATACATTATGATTAATTTTTGTTAAATATTATTTATATTTAATTTAAAATTTTAAAATAATTTTTTTTCACGATCACAATCATAAAATTCTTCTTAGGATTCTTAAGAAAATAATCCGATGTTTTCTTTTATTTTAATTGTGCGTCATGTTTCATGCATAACACACATCACACCGACACCCTCCATCAATAACTCGCCGGACACATTGACTACGTGTCTATGCGTGTGACCACATGACAATTTGACCCACATGAAAAGAACACAGAGAGGAGAGATTTTTCATCCGTACATGAGGTTACATTATGTGTAATTATATGAATGATGGAATGTGTAAGTTAAAAGGATTTGGATTGTCTGCCCTCCAATTTCT